ACACACACTACAAGCACCAGCTTGTCAGGAAAATGATGCCCAGGGCTCCTGCCCCATTGGATCTCCCTGCAGCCCAGCAACCCCTGGTGTGTCCCCCCCTTTGCACCCCTATTCCCCCCCTGCCGCTGTCTGCACCTGCTGCCCCCCCATTGAGTCCTGCTCCTGGCAGCATGGTGCCCCTCGGTGTTGGGGGCCCCGGCACAGCCCCTGCCCTGCTCCGTGTGGGCACCGGGCCTGGGGGAGGGGAACGCAGCACTGCAGTGGCTGGTTGTGCCAGGGGTGCCCAGCGGGGCAGGCTGCGGGATCGTAGCCCCCACACCAGCCCGAGAGCCCCCCTCCGCCCCCCAATGCCTGCAGACACGGCGCCCCCCAGCTCCCCATACAGACACACCCAGCACCCGGCTCACACACGCCCCCACCTACCCCCAATGCCTGCAGACACGGCACCCCCCAGCTCCCCATACAGACACACCTGCAGACACACAGCCCCCCACTGCCCTCCAATGCCTGCAGACACGGCGCCCCCCAGCTCCCCATACGGACACACCCGGCGCCCGCCTCACAGACACACCATTCGCTGACACACCCCCACGCCTGCAGATACAGCCCCCCAGAACTCCCCACACGCCGCACAGGGGCCTGCAGCCCCGACAGCCCCACTGACACCACTGGCTGGGCAAAGACACGTGTATTTACTGACTACAAACCCCTTGGCGAGGGGGCCAAGCCCTTCAGTCTGCACCCCTTTCCCCCTCTGTGCCCCCACTCAGGCCCACCTGTCTGGGGGCGACTCCTGGGGGCTACAGGCTGCCCCGCCCCTGTCCCCACAGCCACGGCCCCAGCCAGCCGGAGCAGAGCCCAGGGGCCCTGGTGCCGTAGCAGGGACGGGCTCACTCCTGCCCGTAGGTGCCGTTGTAGCCGAAGGGCTCGGCGGAGACGCAGGGCCCCGGGCTGGCGGGCGTCCAGCGCTGGACGTCCACGTGGGCGAAGGCCGGGTCCCGGGGCCGCACGATGACGGGGCTGCGCGATGCCACTGACGGGTCCTCGTCGAAGAAGTTGAAGGGCCGCAGGAAGAAGCCAACGGCGTTGCCGGGCGTGGCCGTGTTCGGCACGTCCTCGGCGTGCGGGATGTGCAGGAAACCCACCGTCACCCAGGCCACCAGGTCCTGCCATGGACAAGAGTCGCAGTCACCGGGGCCCCGGCACTGCCCCGCATGGCCTGGGGCTCCCCACAGCCTGCAGCCCCCTTGTACCCCCAGGGCCCCAACCCCACCCCACACAGTCACCGGGGCCCTGGCACCACCACTCCCTCAGGCCCCCCTGCACCCTCAGGGCCCCAACCCCATCCCACAGAGTCACCGGGGCCCTGGCACCACCACTCCCTCAGGCCCCCCTGCACCCTCAGGGCCCCAACCCCATCCCACACAGTCACTGGGCCCCCAGGGCCCCAGCACTGTCCCCCACAGCCCGGGGCCCCCCTGCACTCCCAGGACCCCAACCCCACCCCACACAGTCACTGGGGCCCTGGCACCACCACTCCCCTCAGGCCCCCCTTCACCCTCAGGGCCCCAACCCCATCCCACAGAGTCCACCGGGGCCCTGGCACCACCACTCCCTCAGGCCCCCCTTCACCCTCAGGGCCCCAACCCCACCCCACACAGACCCAGGGCCCCAGCACTGTCCCCCCACACCCATCACTCCCGCACACACTGGGGGCCCGGCACTGCCTCCCCCCGCCCCCAGCAGGGAGCCCCCCCGTCCCCTCCTTTCCACAGAGAGCAGAGCCTCAGGGGCCCACCCCACAGCTCAACTCTGGCCCAGGCCCCACACCAGCCCTGCCCCGGCCCAGGCCCCGCCCCACACCTGATTCTCGATGTTCTCGTCGTTTCGGATGAAGCTCTCGAAGTCGACGGCTGGCTGCCAGGGGTCGTGCTGGGCGTAGGGGCTGCTGCTGGTCGCCTCCTTCTCGTGGTGCCGCGTCACCGCCAGGTGGTACCTGCCAGGGGGCGATTCCCGGGCTGAGCCCCGGTCCCCCTGTGGGGCATGGCAGGCTCGAGGGAGAAACCACCGCTGGGCAGGCCCCCACCCCAGGGATCCCCCCAACTCCGTCAATGGGCAGTGGCCCTGAGACCGCCCCGGCCAGCGCAAGGTCCCACCAGCTGCAGGTCAGCACCAGCCCCAGAGACCCCAGGACGCCCCTGCCGGGCCCCGGCTGCCCCAGCCCCGGGTACCGCTCGGCCCAGGGCGCTGGCTGCTCCCGCGCGTGGAGTGGGGGCCCCGCTGGCTGCTGGGTCCCGGCCTTACCTAGGGCGACCAGACAGCAAGTGTGAAAAATCGGGATGGGGGTGCAGGGTAATAAGAGCCTATACAAGAAAAAGACTCACAAATCGGGCCTGACCCTATAAAACTGGGCCATCGGGTCACCCTGGCCTTACCGTCCCCAGGCGACGCCCCGCTCCTCCCTCCAGCCGCGGGGCAGGACGCGGCCGGCCTGCGAGCTGTACTGGATGCGGTAGCTGCGCGGGTGCCCCCAGCGGTTGCGCTGGGTCGGGCTGGAGAACAGCAGGTACCGGGGCAGGGCCGTGCCGAAGGGGAAGGCGGCCTGGCGCTCGCTCCGGCACCGCTGCCGGTGCAGACGGGGCTGCACGACCCGCTCGCCCGCGCTCCAGGGGTTGGAGATGTTCTCGAAGCGCACGTCCAGCGTCTCGAAGCTGTTCCGGGTGCCTGCGAGGGGGACAGGCCATGAGGGGAGGCCCCAGCCCTGCCCCCCCGGGGACGGACACTCTGAAAGGCCAGGGTAGGGGGCTGGGGCTGACGCTCCCCTGGGCCCAATCAGTGTCATGGGAACTGGACTCCTGGGTCCCTCCAACCTCAGCTTGGGGGGGGCCCATCTAGGAGCAGCCCCTGGCCTGGGCACTGGCGGGGGGTGGGAGGCCAGTAGCCACCAGGGAGCAGGGCAAGAGCGGGGCAGCCCTGGGGAAGGGCCAGCCGGTGGGGGGGGAGGGGGAGGCTGCTCTGGGGAAGGACCGACCGCCTGGCGGGGGGGGGGGGGGCTGCTCTGGGGAAGGATGCAGGGGGGGGCTGCCCTGGGGAAGGACCAGCCGGCTGGCGGGGGGGG